TCCAAAAACTCTGTTTTGATTCATCAATGACTGTTTCAGTGCCATTTCATGCTGCTGTCTAGACTGTGAAAAACCAAACACAAACTGGGTGACCGCTTTGCAGATCACCTCTGGTCTGTGCACAAGCATGACCCTGACCTTCTCGTAGCTAGTCATTTTAACAGAGCATCCTACTCACATATCCACGTGTCTATCCTCAACATGCTGCAATGTTCCAGTGAATCACAGAGCAAACTGGAGGAGCAACATCTCACCTTCAAACCAGGCAGTTTACAACCTGATGGGCTCAATATTGAGTTCAACACCTTCAAATTGTGAACCCATTCCCTCCCTTTCTTTCAGCTTTGCTTGTTACATTCTCTGTCACCCTCTCTCCCCTTCTCCAGTGGGGAACAGTGGGAATGTTTTTCCCAGTCTGGCTGTTAAACACACCATTGTTCTGCCATTCACACATTCCAAACACTTAACCTGAACAATCAACATCCTTTCTCCCTAAGCACTCCAACTCCCCCACTATTGCACAAATACTGCTCCCTCCACGCTTCACTTCAGCTTTGATGAAGAGTCATCTAGACTCGAAACATTAGCTTGCTTTCTCTCCATGGATGCTGCCTGACCTGCTGTGATCTCCAGCATTTCTCGTTTTCAATATTTCCTCTTGTGGGTGAACCTAGAACTAGGGAGCCACTGTCTTAAAAATGAGGGATTGCACTCTTAGGACGGAGATGCAGAGAACATTTTTGTCTTACCACAAGTTACCACGATGGCCTAGTGGTATTATCGTTGGACTGTTAATCCAGAGACCCAGATAACGTTCTGGGGACCAGGATTTGAATCCTGCTACGGCAGATGGTGGAATTTGAATTCAATAAATATCTGGAATTAAGAGTCTAATGATGACCATGAATCCATTGCTGACTGTCGGAAAAACCCATCTGGTTCACTAATGCCCTTTAGGGAAGGAAACTGTCATCCTTACCTGGTCTAGCCTACATGTGGACTCCAGATCCACAGCAATGAAGTTGACTCTTAACTACCCTGAGGGCAGTTAGGGATGGGCAATGAATGCTGCCTGGCCAGCAATGCCCTCATCGTGTGAATGAATAAGGAAAAAAAAAAGTTGTGAGACTTTGGAATTCAGCCTCAGAAGGAAGTGGAGGTGGGATCATTGCATACTTTTGAGGCAGCAAGAGATAGACGTTTGTGAGGCAATGGAATCAAAGGTTATCAGGATTGGATGAGAATATGGATTCAGAACACAATCAGATCAGCCATGGTCTTATTAAAAGGGTCTGCCCCTGCTCCATATTTGAATGTTTGTATACACTTACTGAACTCCTTGTGACACTGCATTTAGGCCATTGGACTGGATCCTTAACAGTTACTTCCACACTATGTGTTCCCACTGCCTTTAATCATATGCCTATATGCCTTGAAGCCTCCTTTCCCCCATGAATATATAAGGCCAGTCTTCTTTCCACATCACACGTCAACCTCTGGGTGCAGCAGTTGAAACACTTGGAGCTTCTTCTGTCCCATCTCAAAGTTTCTGGGAATAGATTCACGTCCTGCACAACCCTCAGCGCTTTCTCCAGCCACTACGTGGCTCTCTTTTAAGAGCTACACTATAGGTTTAACTGGTGGCAGGAAATTACAGCTCTGTAACCCCAGCTCATGTGTACAGTTAATGAACTATCTGGTGATTGCTGGTTGAACACAAAGTGCAAGGTTGCTATGCTGAGCCAACTTTTAACAGCTTTTTAATTTAACCCCTATAATTCCTCTTTTATCTCCTAGATTTCCTCCCTATCTCTCCTGAAAATGCTGACTTTTGCTGGAATGTATCTCCATTGGCAGTCATCCAGTGCCCTCACTGAGGGCTGATGTACATTTTAGAATTCCATAGTTGAAGATTATCTGAACTTCGTGAGTAATTTTGTTAATAAATTAACAGATTGGACATTTTATAGTTACTCTGTAGTTAACTAATGATATTTTTGCACAGCACAGATTTTATCCTCAGCAAAACATCTCTCAGCCAGCACTTATTGGTGAGAAGACGGTATGGAATAAATTATCTCAAAGAGAATTTAGCGAGCTTCTACAGCAAAGCAAGAAATGATATCGTAGAATCATAGAACTTTTACATTACAGTTTATAGTATGAAAGGAGACCATTCAGCCCATCATGTCCCTACTGTCTTCTGAAAGACCTAATCAGCTAGTCCCATTCTCCAGTTCTAATTCCATAGTCCTCTAATTTCATCATTTTCAAATAAATATCCAGTTTTCTTTTGAAATCTCCTATGGAATCCGCCTCCACCACTCTCCCAGGCAGCATATGCCAAATCCTAACAATTCTCTGAGTGAAGAAGTTTCTCCTCACCTTATCCCAAGTTCTCTTGCTGACTATCTTGAAATTGTGACCCCTAGTTAATGACGTAACAACTACAGAAAGCAGAATATCCTTCTTTACCCTGGCAAAATTGTTCATCGTTTTGAACACCTCAATAAGTTCACCTCTTAATCTTCTCTGCTCCAAAGATCACCTCTTAATCTTCTCTGCTCCAGAGATTAGTATCCATTGATTATACCTCTAGAAAGCTGCTTAAGTACATTAAAACGTGACTATACTTAAAAGTACACAGTTGTTCAGAAGGTGATTTGGAAGATGCTGAGGTTTTGAAAGGTGCTGCATAAAGGCAAGTCTTTTATCAATACAGAAATAACATCTTTCTATTTACATAGCAAGACTTGTCAAACTGTAACAATATTCACACAGCTAATCTTTGGATTGAGCCACTGTCAAACTTCAACATCAAAAGAGTGTTTTGATAATTGGTTACAACACTGATATTCCAGAATACTTCGACCAATAAAAATAAAGGGAAAAAAACTGAACATCAAATGTTTTCTTGGGCTCTTTTTTGATGTCCACTTAGATTGCTTGATCACAGAATACTCCTGAAATCTGAGCTGACAATAAGGTGTCAAGTTAAGAGAAAGGTGCAAAGCTTTCCCCAGGAGTTCATCTCATGTCACTTCAGCAACACAGTTGCTGCATTGCAGCTGTAGACAACACAACAGTATATTTTCCTTAGTGGTGTCTTTGAAAACATCATCCTGAAATATATTACAATCATAGTAAAAATGGAGTACAAATATTCAACTTCCATCATTTTATACTATTCATGGATGAGAAAATAACTGTTCAAAATGTCAAATGTATGACCTAAAATAATGATGAATGACTAGGTTGTGCCAAGTTCAGAAAATCATCAGTGAATAAGGTTCAATCTGAACCAAAACTAATGCTGTTCTAAAAGGTCACTACAAGTCACGTCTGTAAATCCAGTTGATTCACACCTGCCTGGAAGTTATACTTTGGGATGAAAGGTAGCTGTAGAGTACTCAGCTTGGGAAAAAAAAGTAGTGAGCAGACCTAGTGATATACAAATAAACTTTTATCAACAGATGCTCCGATCAGCAGAAGAGGGAGAAGGAAAATAGATTTGTGAATACTCAGTCTTTCCTCTCTTAGTCACAGGGTTCAGAGCTGGTGAAAAAACAACTTGGAAAAATTACCATTCACCAAGAGATCAAGGTTATCTTCAAGCTTCACCACTCCTGAGGAAACAGTGCAACAACTGGAACTCAGATTCCACTCTTGCAACTCGAGAAATCTAAAATAAATGTTAAGCTGCAACTGCCTTTATTGTCCTGTCTGTGTAGACACCTCTTCCCCTGCCTTCTTTTTACAATGTTACTAGATGTATTTCTGAGGGCGCTTCATGTGATGTTTTCTTACTTTTCTCATGTTTGCCAGGTAATAAACTCCATTCTCTTTCACTCAAACAAAACCTTAGAATTCGCTCTTTTTTGTGATTTGGTTAACTAAGTTTAATTGAAGTGGGATAGCTACATGCCAAGAAATAAATAAATAATGTTTTTATTTTTATGATCAACTTGGGAGGAATGGTTAAGAAATGGCAAGCCAATCACTTGTCCTTATCTGGTTGAAACAAATGAGGTATCTGCTTTTTCTCTGGAAATCTTTTAAAATTGAATAAAAACCGAAAGAACTGCGGATGCTGTAAATCAGGAACAAAAACAAAGTTGCTGGAAAACTCAGCAGATCTGGCAACATCTGTGGAAGAGAAAACAGAGTTAACGTTGCGGGCCCAGTGACTGGACCCGAAACGTTAGCTCTGTTTTCTCCTTCACAGATGCTGCCAGACCTGATGAGCTTTTCCAGCAACTTTGTTTTTATTCCTGATTTATAGCATCCGCAGTTCTTTCAGTTTTTATTAAGGCTAAGAGGAGATTTGATAACGATTTTCAAAATCATGGAATGGCTTAATTGGGAAGATAAGGCGAGGTGGCACGTTGGCTCAGTGGTTAGCACTGCTGCTTCACAGCACCAGGGACCTGGGTTTGATTCCACCCTCAGGCGACTGTCTGCGTGGAGTTTGCACATTCTCCCCGTATCTGTGTGGGTTTCCTCCAGTTTCCTCCCACAGTCCAAGGATGTGTGGGCTAGGTAGGTTGGCCATGCTAATTACCCCATTGTGTTAAGAGATGTGTATATTAGGGGGATGGGTCCGGATGGGGTGCTCTGAGGGGTTGGTGTGGACTTGTTGGGCTGAAGGGCCTGTTTCCACACTGTAGGGATTCTATGATCTATAAGCTGTTCCAACATATGGAAGGAACAAAAACAAGTGATGTGCTAAAATGGCAAGACTGAAATGAGAAAAGAGCTTTGTCAACAGCAAGTAGCTAGGGAATGGAATATGCTGTCTGGAAATGTTTCGGATGCAGCTTCAATAGAAGGCATACAAGGGAATTAGGGAAAAAGTAGGAGATTGGCACGAGGTAATGATGCTCATTTGAAGATGGGCCAAATGGCTGCAACAATTCTGTCATTTCAATATCTTTTTTCTAAAACAGGTCATGAAATCTGGAGAAAGATTCATAAGCAAAAGAAAATGAAAATTTCTTTACCGTCAAACTCAATGAAAATAATGAGGTCGTCATTTTTTAAGAAGCTTCTACGCTGAAGTTGCTTGTGGGACATGAAAGCTGACCAACCAAGGGAAACGCTCTGATAGCAATCACAAGTGGAATCATAGGTTCCAGTGAGCGTAGGCCTGTCCCAGAAGAAAGTGGAATTTCTACCTGTAATTAAATTCATACAGAAGCAAATTATTTCCAAACCACTTTAAACATTACAAAAGTCCTGAGTATAGAAATCTATAATCAAAATAGCAAATGTCAGATAACTCCATGATGTGATAGTTTTTGCTTGAGGCATTCATTGGGTATTCCACGATTCAAACAAATTAAAAATAAATAAAGCATTAGATTGAGAAGACACTGGAACGTTACACCAATGTTGCTTATACAACGGCGAAGAACAAAATGTACATAGTGACAAGTGGATTCACACATGATTTTGCTGATCTTTTCTTCACGACCCCCTGTGGATGTAATTAGTGAGGTTTTTCTTGTAATGAAAATGGTAGCATTGACTATCACGCAGGTAATATTTTTATTCATTTCAGCATCGTCAATAGAGTGGGACAACATATTATTTAAATGCCACTGAAAGTATACTATTACCTTATCAACAAAATAATCAGTTTTCCTCAGCAAATTACAAAGGATTTTTTGATCAATGTGCAACCTGCATTATTTTTCTACATCAAACAGCTCATAAACATTTGGAAGATTTCTCTAGGACCTATGGCTTTGTGATCATAAGAATTTTAGGGAATAGGAAAAGACCATTAAATCCATGGGTTAACTGATCAACTTGGGAACAAACATCAGACATTTCTGATAATCATACAGCCATCAATTGAACGATCCTTGAGTTCACACTGCTTTTGAAGATCCATAGAGTCATAAAGCTGTACAGCATAGAAACAGACCCTTCGGTCCAACTCGTCAATGCCAACCAGGTATCCTAAATTAACCTAGTCCTGTTTGCCAGCATTTGGCCCATATCCCTCTAAACCCATCCTATTCATGTACCCATCCAGATGCCTTTTAAATGTTATAATTGTACCAGCTTCCACCACTTCCTCTGGTGGCTCATTCCATACGTGCACCACCCTCTGCATGAAAAATCCTGGATGAAGAATTGCAGTTGGCTCATCAGTTTTTTTCTCAACATTTGTGATTGATGCAGAGCCTTTCACCAAGGCAGTGCAACCTGAAAATACTAAGCCTTAAAAGGTCTGATGTTCCAGCGCTGATTGTTGTAAACAGTATGCCAAAGCAAGCATGTTCTTGTTTTATGGATTATGTGATCAGACTGACCTCATACATGGGGCTCGGTTAATTTTTAACATTCCCATAGAACCAGCCAGTATCCTGTGGATATCACTTAGTCCACGTGAGAATGTGTTTTAGCAAATGAAATCATGGTTCAAATGACACCGGTAAGCAGCTTAAGAGATAACACAGTGTAGAGCTGGCGGAACACAGCAGGACAGGCAGCATCAGAGCAGAGAGCAGGAAAGTTGACATTTCAGGTCGGGACCCTTCTTCAGAAATCAGAAAGCAGCTTAAACTTTTTTCCCACTAATGTAATTCCTCTTACAGAGGAATACTACAATAATGCCATTCAGGACACTGATATTTGCCTGAACCTCTCCAAAGAATTAAATCATATCCATTAGAACAATCAGGAGTGCTGGAAGGAGAAAAATGGTGCAGTGCCGTGCCTCTTCATTATATTTTTGTGATTTTGCTGAAGCCATTTCAATGCTATTCTGACCTGTGAGCCCAATGAAAGGAGTTCTGGCACAAAGATCCAGGAAAGATGTGCACTTACTGGGGAGGAAACAACACATTCAAGACCTTTGGAGAGGAAAGGGAGATCAGAGATGCAGCATTATTTTGGAAGGGGACGGTAATCAAAAGTGCCCTGTAGTGGAGGTGGATGTTTTGAAGGAGAAAGGGACAAGACCTGAAGAGAGTGTAGGAGTAAATTCCTGTAGAAGCTGGAATCTGTACTGAAAACAAAAAATGCTGGGGTTCGCAGTGGGTCAGGCAGCATCTGTGAAGAGAGAGCAAGCTAACATTTCAAGTCTAGATGACACTTCACCGGAGCTGACATGAAGTGTGAAGAGGGCAGCATTTACGCAATAGTGTGGAAATGGAGTACTGGGGAGAAAGGATGTTGATAGTGCAGATTAAGTGATTGGAAAGTGAGAATGGCAGAACAATGGTGGGAACAAAAACAAAGTTGCTGGAAAAGCTCAGCAGGTCTGGCAGCAT